GATTTGCTATGCTGTAGAGTCATGATTAGATACACTCAAATTACTCTCTGTAATTTCATATTCTAGTAATTTAAAGCAAAGACAATAATAGAATTTAACGAGATCATTCACATCAGATATGTAACGTCTCTACAGCTCTGTTGTTTCTTATTATTCTGAAACAGAAATTCAAGCAGATCAGATTTTGTGTATTGGTATTCATAGGAGATTTGCTGAAAATGAACAAGTGTTCTGTCTGGCTTGTGCCAGCAAGTATCTGAGATGGAGACTAGTATTCATAAGGATGTTATCACATTTCTTCACTTTCTGCTGAGCATTGAGCTGTGAGGTTGACTTTAGTTGTGTGGGGAGGCCATTTCTTTTTGCTGAATCGGGAGTGAAATCCCATTTTAGCCCTGTGAGACTTAGCATTTGGAATATTGTTGTGTTTTGGCCTATTATTTCTGAATGTAGCGAACGTTTGTTGCCTTTCATTAGTGCAACACATGAGCGTAGAACTTCTTGTATGCTTTTTTGTGTCTTGTACCCTGCAACATGTTACAATAAAAATATTATTTTATGTGTATGTATATATAGATAGATAGATAGATTGATTGTTTTTATATTTCTAGAAAATAAAATAAATATACAATTCTATATATATATAATTCTATAATATATATATATATATAACAATTTAAATATATATATATATATATATCAATTGTTTTTATATTTCTAGAAAATAAATAATTTCTATTATATATATATAATTTTTTTTTTCAAATTTTACCAAAAAAAATGGCTCACCCCAGTATTTTTGGCCGTTTTAATTTAATTTATACATATTTTTGTCTATATATTTCAATTCAAGTAAATGTATGTCACATTTGAAGAAACAGTCAGGTTGAAACTAAATAAATGTTCTATGTCAAAAAAAAAAATTTTCACTGAGCTTCACTGCTTATATATATTTATAAAATATATATTTAGCATATATTTACAATGTATTTTGACCACGAATATGTAACAAAAATTGCAGCTCTGGATGCCTTTGTTTACTAGTCTTATTTTATCATACGCTGCACACAAGCACACTGAAATAATGCGGTGTGGTGATGCTGGGTGGGGGAGACACCACCACCACTTTCAGGTCACACCATCCACCCTTTCTTCATATCAGCCAGATCTTGACCTTGAATCTAATTAACCTGAATCATATTGCTCTGCACCACACTAAAAACACATATGCCCTCCAAGATCAACAGGACACAGACAGCCAGCTGTAATTGTCTGCTTGTATTTATCAGTCAATCACAGGGAGATAAACAACAGGATTTGTGTGTTTTTAGAAGCAGGCCATGATGAACTTTTAGTGGGAATTGTGAAAATCAATGTTTGTTTGTTCCCATAACTATGACTCGAGGTAAAGTTTGCAGCGTTGAGGAACAAAGAAACTGCAGTGCTCCCTCCTCCCTCTTAATGTCAGAGGAAAGCAGAACTGCATGTGGCTGATTGGAGTCCATCTGCTTGCAGTATAAAACATTTCATCAAGGGGGTAAAAACCATGTAATGAAAGCCCAGTTTGCACAAAACAAGGGGTAATGTAAGTGCAAATACTGCAGCGTGTCTCTAATAATCAGAGCATCATGAAGAGCGAGAGGGAAATCTCCAGAGCTTTCCACCTGAATTTGCAGTCAATTCTCATAAATATTCCAGCCACATTTCACGCCTCTGAGGAACCAATACACAGCAGAACGTGTTATATTTCATACAACAAACATGAACCTGAATAGCGTTAATGCGTTTTCCAGTCAGGTAGCTATGTTCTTTTAAATCATTGAAAATATTTGCGTTTTAAAGTAGATTTTGGATGTGAATGTGACAAGAATGATAATCGTTTGATTTGCTATGCTGTAGTGTCATGATTAGATACACTCAAATTACTCTCTGTAATTTCATATTCTAGTAATTTAAAGCAAAGACAATAATAGAATTTAACGAGATCATTCACATCAGATATGTAACGTCTCTACAGCTCTGTTGTTTCTTATTATTCTGAAACAGAAATTCAAGCAGATCAGATTTTGTGTATTGGTATTCATAGGAGATTTGCTGAAAATGAACAAGTGTTCTGTCTGGCTTGTGCCAGCAAGTATCTGAGATGGAGACTAGTATTCATAAGGATGTTATCACATTTCTTCACTTTCTGCTGAGCATTGAGCTGTGAGGTTGACTTTAGTTGTGTGGGGAGGCCATTTCTTTTTGCTGAATCGGGAGTGAAATCCCATTTTAGCCCTGTGAGACTTAGCATTTGGAATATTGTTGTGTTTTGGCCTATTATTTCTGAATGTAGCGAACGTTTGTTGCCTTTCATTAGTGCAACACATGAGCGTAGAACTTCTTGTATGCTTTTTTGTGTCTTGTACCCTGCAACATGTTACAATAAAAATATAATGCGGTGTGGTGATGCTGGGTGGGGGAGACACCACCACCACTTTCAGGTCACACCATCCACCCTTTCTTCATATCAGCCAGATCTTGACCTTGAATCTAATTAACCTGAATCATATTGCTCTGCACCACACTAAAAACACATATGCCCTCCAAGATCAACAGGACACAGACAGCCAGCTGTAATTGTCTGCTTGTATTTATCAGTCAATCACAGGGAGATAAACAACAGGATTTGTGTGTTTTTAGAAGCAGGCCATGATGAACTTTTAGTGGGAATTGTGAAAATCAATGTTTGTTTGTTCCCATAACTATGACTCGAGGTAAAGTTTGCAGCGTTGAGGAACAAAGAAACTGCAGTGCTCCCTCCTCCCTCTTAATGTCAGAGGAAAGCAGAACTGCATGTGGCTGATTGGAGTCCATCTGCTTGCAGTATAAAACATTTCATCAAGGGGGTAAAAACCATGTAATGAAAGCCCAGTTTGCACAAAACAAGGGGTAATGTAAGTGCAAATACTGCAGCGTGTCTCTAATAATCAGAGCATCATGAAGAGCGAGAGGGAAATCTCCAGAGCTTTCCACCTGAATTTGCAGTCAATTCTCATAAATATTCCAGCCACATTTCACGCCTCTGAGGAACCAATACACAGCAGAACGTGTTATATTTCATACAACAAACATGAACCTGAATAGCGTTAATGCGTTTTCCAGTCAGGTAGCTATGTTCTTTTAAATCATTGAAAATATTTGCATTTTAAAGTAGATTTTGGATGTGAATGTGACAAGAATGATAATCGTTTGATTTGCTATGCTGTGGTGTCATGATTAGATACACTCAAATTACTCTCTGTAATTTCATATTCTAGTAATTTAAAGCAAAGGCAATAATAGAATTTAACGAGATCATTCACATCAGATATGTAACGTCTCTACAGCTCTGTTGTTTCTTATTATTCTGAAACAGAAATTCAAGCAGATCAGATTTTGTGTATTGGTATTCATAGGAGATTTGCTGAAAATGAACAAGTGTTCTGTCTGGCTTGTGCCAGCAAGTATCTGAGATGGAGACTAGTATTCATAAGGATGTTATCACATTTCTTCACTTTCTGCTGAGCATTGAGCTGTGAGGTTGACTTTAGTTGTGTGGGGAGGCCATTTCTTTTTGCTGAATCGGGAGTGAAATCCCATTTTAGCCCTGTGAGACTTAGCATTTGGAATATTGTTGTGTTTTGGCCTATTATTTCTGAATGTAGCGAACGTTTGTTGCCTTTCATTAGTGCAACACATGAGCGTAGAACTTCTTGTATGCTTTTTTGTGTCTTGTACCCTGCAACATGTTACAATAAAAATATTATTTTAAATGATCAGTTTATTATCAGTTATCAGTTTATGGAACCATTTGTTTCATTTAAAAGGATGCATTTAATCAAAAGTGACAGTAAAGAAATTTACAGTGTTACAAAAAATATGCTGTCCCTTGTGAATTTTTCTCAACAAAGGATCCTGAAAAGAAATGTAGGATGATTTCCACAAAAATGTTAAACAGCACACTTAAAGCATTAGAGAAATTAATTTTAATAAAATGTTTCTTGAGCACAAAATCAGCATATTAGAATGATTTCTGAAGGATCATGTGACACTAAAAACGGGAGTAATCATAGGAATAAATTACAATTTAAACATTTAAAGAAAAAAACTGTTGTTTTAAATTGTAATATTACATTTTTTTTTATTAAAAAAGTCCAGTTTTTGCAGTATATTTAATCAAATAAATGCAGACTTGGAGAACATAAAAGACATTAAAAAAAAATCTTACCAACCCCAAACTTTTGAATAAAATTACTATACATATATATGAGCCTCTTAAAGAAGAAGTTACAGGTCTGTGAGAGCCAGAAATCTTGCTTGTTTGTAGGTGACCAAATACTTATTTTACCGAGGAATTTACCAATTAATTCTTTAAAAATCCTACAATGTGATTTTCTGGAATTTTTTTCTCATTTTGTCTCTCATAGTTGAGGTATACCTATGATGAAAATTACAGGCCTCTCTCATCTTTTTAAGTGGGAGAACTTGCACAATTGGTGGCTGACTAAATACTTTTTTGCCCCACTGTAAATTCATTACATTTCATTGTGCATCTTGTTTATTGGTGCAAATAAGTTTCAGGAGTTGAATTGCAATTCAAAAGACATTCTTAATTCACATCTGAATGTCGCTCAACCTTGAATCTATGATATACTGTCATCTCTGATGCACCCCCACTGCTGTGATACTCTGAATAAAAAATCATCATCCCTATGAAGTGTTCTTGATCCACAACACAGACAGCTTGCTTTGTTTTTTATCTATTGTTCTCATTGTGTGTTTTTCATCTGCGGTCTTTTACCATAGAGACAGTGTGTACCTTACCCCTGGCTGTGGTGAGAGAATGCAGAATTTAGCTGCGCACCAGATATGATGCTTAATTTTCCCAAATCTGTTCCAATAAAGAAACAAACTTGGATTGTTGCGACTATTCCTTTCAAACTGTTCCTTTAACTGTGGCGAATGTATTTTCCTTGCAGGTATCATTGCAGTGGTGATCTTCACTATTCTGTGCACGTTGGTGTTTCTAATCCGGTACATGTTCCGCCATAAAGGCACCTACCACACCAACGAGGCCAAGGGGGGAGAGTCATCAGAGTCAGCCGACACGGCCATTATTGGCACCGAGGCCAATTTCACAGAGACCATCGACGAAAGCAAGAAAGAATGGTTCATCTAATGGGGGTGTACAGACTCTTTCAGAATCTTTTTTTGAGTATCAGAACTAATGTTTTGGGATCAAACTCATCACCAATTTGAGAAACTGTCCTGTACATAGTGACTGGCTTGTCTCTTTCTATTGTGTTTTGGCAGAAGTCTTTTAGGTGTGTAATCTCTGGATCACATTAATAAATCATTTCACCATGTGTTCTTTTTTTTTAACAGAAACATAATTATTTGCCAAAATCCTCTTTTATGGAAAATGTTTATGTACGATTAATCATTTTCTTCACATGCTTAATCTTAAAAAAAGTCCTTGTTTGGAAAATGTTTTAGACAGACTGTAAATGTTAAATGCTCTATATGAATATGTTTATTTAATTAATTGCACAAATGGCAGAGTTTTAGATGACATCAGATTGTATATCATCAGCGAGGGGAAGAAAAACAAGGCATGCACCAAGAATTATGTCAAATTGACGCTGTCTGTTTGTAGCTTTCTGCACAGCTATGCTCATTTATTTCTTGTGGAAGCCTTCAGTTTATTGTTCCTTGCCAAACACCTCTCAGTCTTAAGCATTTGTTTTGCTGAAGGCATGTATCATGGCATAAAGATGTTATTTTGAGAGATCATTTTGTCTGTGATTCATTTATGCAGGCTGTGGTAAAGCACTGGCATAGTGACATCTATTTGGCAGATGAAAACCCAAACATGTATCATCAGCGTTTGTCATTGCAGATGAAGAAGGTGGGACCACTGACACCCAATTGAATGACTTAATTCAAGGTGCCTTTAGGATTCAGCCAGCCGTCTGTGGAGAATTACTTTGGTTAAATAGATAAAAGGAGAATCCCAACAAATCAAATGGCTGTTTGTATTTATTTTATATATTTGACTGAGAAGAAAGCAGACCCAATGTTTATGAGTTTAGAAGTGTTTGGAACAGCACTGTCATATAATTATTTTGCACTGTGTATTTTGTCAAATTACTTTCGACATTTTTTAAGCATTATTTACTTTTTTGAATAAAATGTCAAATAAAACGTCATTTACATACAGATTATCCATTCTCTCAGAGGCTGGTTCACAGAATGATTTTAGACAACTGATGTCGGACAATGTAATGTATTTATTTGTTATAAATATCTAGGTTTAGAATTATGACACATCCGCCATTCATTGGAGTAATTCTGAGTATCTGATCTGAATAGTTTATCATTCTCTTATAGAGATATCAAGCTAAATTTGATCGTTGTTTCATCAGCTCTCTTATTTATGTGGTTTTGCAAAAGAGTAGATATGTATCTTAATATTATTTTTGAAAGGTGTATGGGTAATGATATATGTTTGGAAGGGTTTGTGTTCACAATCACATCTCAGACTATAACCATGTTAATTTAGTTAAATATTTCTCAAATTGACATTTTGGAGCGTATAATGAGGGATTCATGAGAATGTACAAGAGTCTTGATGAGTTACACTTTTATATTCTAATATCAATTTCTTCACCCCTCATTTACATTGAAAATATAAACATTGTTTTGTATTATTGTAAGGTTAGTCAGTTAGGATTCACAATAAATGAACTATATAAATATATTTTTATGAGGATATTTTGTAGATGACCTAGCCTTTCATTGTGTCTCATCTATCTGTGTATTAGAGGAAGGATTTTCAAAGTGTTCTCAAGATCTGTGAAGAAAGAAAGATGTACTTGAACGTTCCTTGTATGGAGACAGAAAGCTTTGATCATTTTAATTGTCATAATATGACCGCTTTTCATTACCTTTAACAGTATTATTCTTTAGACATGTTGAATTTATGTTTTGTGAAGGTGATTTTTGTTTCTTTTTATGACGAGAGGATACAAAATAATAAAATGTTTTCTATTATTTATTGAACACAGCTCAGTTCTGCTGCCTCTCATATGGCACGTATATAGGCCTTTAAATGTAAATATAGATTTTTTTGATCACAGCAATTTAAGGCTTTGACATTTTATTGTTTTTGAGTCAATAATACGAGTGAATCAGTTCTGCTGCCTCTCATATGGCACGTATATAGGCCTTTAAATGTAAATATAGATTTTTTTTGATCACAGCAATTTAAGGCTTTGACATTTTATTGTTTTTGAGTCAATAATACGAGTGAAAGTGTAAACAATATAATATATTTACTCATCTGTATCTCATATTATGATTGCATTCTGCTCGTGTATTCAACTTGTTTTAACGGCAGCATGACCACTGTATGTGAAATTGTACATACTGTACTTTAAACTATTGTGCAATATCACAATTGTATTTACTCCTGGGGGCATATTTTTTACCTTTTGTTATGATGTTGACAAGTCAGGAATGAATAGTACAATACTTTTTATATTTAGAGCAACTCAGTTCTCGACTGGCTGTTTAACGTAAAATATTTGTACTGACCTCTTTTCATCCATCTCATTACTGTGTGAGGCCTGATTGCAAAATAAGAGAATTCCTCATTAATGTGGCTATTCTTATGGGAAGGGAATAAAAGCAAGTAGCCTACCTAACAAATGTTTGTTGTGTAGTTTTTTTTCAATGTGTACTACATTCACATTAGATGGAACTTCAGATGTTACCGACCGTATATCAAATTGAATATATTATTGGGTTAAATATATATATGAATATGGAGTTGTCTATCAGTCCCTATAAAGTTACATTATCAGACATCACATCTCTATATTTGAAGAAAACTAAAACTGTTTTATAAAATGTATACTGCGTAACACAAGGCAGTCAGATGTTGCAATGTGGATACTGCGTGGTATGCATATAAAACTGAAGTCCATAATCATTTGTAAACTAGAGGTCTCTTATGTTGACACGTTGTGATGACTCTTATGAAGCAGAATTTAGTCAGCTGCTGCCCAAGCATCTCAGAGGCGGCAACACGAGAGGTAGTGGTGAGTTACTGCAGCTATATTGTGAATGTAACTGAATGGCTTCAGGATCTGAGGAGGATGGATGGGATCTTAAAAGAGAAATGGTGTGGCAAAAGGCTACTAATAAGCGTAAGAAAAAAAGAGTAATGGATCAGGAACAGAAACAGATGATACTGTTAAAAAAGTAAGAGGACATGACAATGTAACATCTGGCAGTGAGATGCAAACATGGGGAGAGTTGTAACAACACCATTTCCACATATCAGGGATAAACTAGGAGTCCTATGATAATTTCATTATTTACCCACTTCCTCCCCGATCTTATATCAATGGTTGTCAAGGCTGTAAATAGATATATGCAGCTTTTATAAAGAAAAAACAGATTTTGGTGTAAGAATCCAATTTTTTTTTTTACCAAAACTACATTTTGCTTAGTACTTAAACTGTTGCCGATTAAATCATATAACATACATTAGAATAAATTGTAGATTCTCAGGCAAAATGTGATGCATTTTTAAATTGCTAATTTCAAACCATTATGCTAATACAGCTAACTAAACATTGGATGACAGGGGTGTGGTAAATTGTAACACATTTTAGCATTCCCTTGCATAGTACAGAGAACTTTCATGTTGTATATATGGAGCTTTTTTTGGCAGCTCAAAGCCAAAGGAAATGTGGGTAAAATGTGCCCTATGCAGTTTCTGGATCCACCAAGCCTGCACTCTAGGGTTAAAAACATTGGTTTTACACCATTGTTAATCTGATTGAGAAAATTCATACATAAACACAATCTCGCACACAGATTTACACAGGTTTTTGTTAGATCTGCATATTCTTTACCTCGGTACACTGGAGTTGAGTGTTCAGTAAGCATAAATACTGTTAAAGGGATAGTTCACCCAAAAATGAAAATTTGATGTTTATCGGCATCCAAGATGTAGGTGACTTTGTTTCTTCAGTAGAACACAAACAAAGAATTTTAACTCAAACCGTTGCAGTCTGTCAGTCATAAAATGTAAGTGAATGGGAATCACGCATTTGAGAGTCAAAAAAACCATCTGTATCTCATATTATGATTGCATTCTGCTCGTGTATTCAACTTGTTTTAACGGCAGCATGACCACTGTATGTGAAATTGTACATACTGTACTTTAAACTATTGTGCAATATCACAATTGTATTTACTCCTGGGGGCATATTTTTTACCTTTTGTTATGATGTTGACAAGTCAGGAATGAATAGTACAATACTTTTTATATTTAGAGCAACTCAGTTCTCGACTGGCTGTTTAACGTAAAATATTTGTACTGACCTCTTTTCATCCATCTCATTACTGTGTGAGGCCTGATTGCAAAATAAGAGAATTCCTCATTAATGTGGCTATTCTTATGGGAAGGGAATAAAAGCAAGTAGCCTACCTAACAAATGTTTGTTGTGTAGTTTTTTTTCAATGTGTACTACATTCACATTAGATGGAACTTCAGATGTTACCGACCGTATATCAAATTGAATATATTATTGGGTTAAATATATATATGAATATGGAGTTGTCTATCAGTCCCTATAAAGTTACATTATCAGACATCACATCTCTATATTTGAAGAAAACTAAAACTGTTTTATAAAATGTATACTGCGTAACACAAGGCAGTCAGATGTTGCAATGTGGATACTGCGTGGTATGCATATAAAACTGAAGTCCATAATCATTTGTAAACTAGAGGTCTCTTATGTTGACACGTTGTGATGACTCTTATGAAGCAGAATTTAGTCAGCTGCTGCCCAAGCATCTCAGAGGCGGCAACACGTGGTGAGTTAGTGAGTTACTGCAGCTATATTGTGAATGTAACTGAATGGCTTCAGGATCTGAGGAGGATGGATGGGATCTAAATGGTGTGATGGTGTGGCAAAAGGCTACTAATAAGCGTAAGAAAAAAAGAGTAATGGATCAGGAACAGAAACAGATGATACTGTTAAAAAAGTAAGAGGACATGACAATGTAACATCTGGCAGTGAGATGCAAACATGGGGAGAGTTGTAACAACACCATTTCCACATATCAGGGATAAACTAGGAGTCCTATGATAATTTCATTATTTACCCACTTCCTCCCCGATCTTATATCAATGGTTGTCAAGGCTGTAAATAGATATATGCAGCTTTTATAAAGAAAAAACTGATTTTGGTGTAAGAATCCAATTTTTTTTTTTACCAAAACTACATTTTGCTTAGTACTTAAACTGTTGCCGATTAAATCATATAACATACATTAGAATAAATTGTAGATTCTCAGGCAAAATGTGATGCATTTTTAAATTGCTAATTTCAAACCATTATGCTAATACAGCTAACTAAACATTGGATGACAGGGGTGTGGTAAATTGTAACACATTTTAGCATTCCCTTGCATAGTACAGAGAACTTTCATGTTGTATATATGGAGCTTTTTTTGGCAGCTCAAAGCCAAAGGAAATGTGGGTAAAATGTGCCCTATGCAGTTTCTGGATCCACCAAGCCTGCACTCTAGGGTTAAAAACATTGGTTTTACACCATTGTTAATCTGATTGAGAAAATTCATACATAAACACAATCTCGCACACAGATTTACACAGGTTTTTGTTAGATCTGCATATTCTTTACCTCGGTACACTGGAGTTGAGTGTTCAGTAAGCATAAATACTGTTAAAGGGATAGTTCACCCAAAAATGAAAATTTGATGTTTATCTGCTTACCCCCAGGGCATCCAAGATGTAGGTGACTTTGTTTCTTCAGTAGAACACAAACAAAGAATTTTAACTCAAACCGTTGCAGTCTGTCAGTCATAAAATGTAAGTGAATGGGAATCACGCATTTGAGAGTCAAAAAAACATACACAAACAAAACCAAATTAAACCCTGCGGCTCGTGACGATACATTGATGTGTAAAGACACGAAACGAACAATCTGTGCAAGAAACTAAACCGTATTTATATAGTTTTTTACCTCTGATTCACGCAATGTCCGAACTGTCCTGAGCACGCTTGCATCTTCTTCTTCAGCTGGTGTGTGATGTGTCTTCTTCGTCATGCTTTACGGCAGTTCACAGACTTATAAGTGAATTACCGCTACCTATCTCTCAAATGGACCATTGACACTCCTAATTGAGATTGTAGATGGGGT